CTGAGCTGGTTGTGAGGATTCAAGAAATTCATATGAATAGAGTGCTCAGAACAGGTCTGACATAAAGGAAGAGTCACCAAGCATTTGCTTGATTGGTTATAGTCACTGCTAATACTTATTAGGTGCCTCACCTTCTCACTGCCGGCTTATTTCCCTTGTTCAGATGAGGCAGCAGAGGCCTCAGAGAGGCAAATGGCTTGCTTGCGCCCGTCTGGCGGGCAGATCTGGAAAATGAGAGAGGCGTGGGTGGCTGGGCACAGGCTCAGGAAGCATCTGGCTGGTGATCAATCAGACAGCGGCGGCAGTGAGGTTCTCAACAGCGTCTGGTCGGAGCCAGAGGAGATGTGACCCAGGGGAGTGAATGAATGGAAAATCAGCCCAGAGTGAAAGGCAACAGAAATAGAAAGGGAAGCCTGGTAATTGGGCGGCCCCCAAATGGAAAGATCAATATTCTACTGCCAATGGGACAGCCAGTGTCGCTGGCAGCCAGCGCCTGGCCCAGCTGTGTGTGGTTCAAGGAGAGCAGCTGTCCCCGCGGGCCCCGCCAGGCCCAGGATGCCCTTCTCTTCCAGCCAGAAGCCCAGAGGCGGTGCAGGACAGCCCGGCCGTGGGCGCTGTGCTCGTCGCGTGGGGTGGGGGCAGCTCCTGTGGGTGGCTCTTTGCTGCACTTGCTGGGTGACCTTGAGCAAGTCCTCCCCCTGCCTGGGACTTGGCTTCCCTGCCTCTAAAATGAAGGGCTGGGTCAGCTGAATGCACCGGTAAAAGGGTATCTAGCGTCCAGGAGGGTTGAGACTTGGTGATGGAGGTGAGGGTCCCCAGCTACAGCAGGTGAGGGCTCTGATGCGCAGGGACCCGGAGCCCCGCAGCAGCTGACGCTCTGGGGCCCGCGGGACCTGGGTTCAAGGCAGAGTTCCTGCCACGGCGACCGTCTAAGGGTCTAACCTCTCCCATCAGTCTCCTCACTGTAGACCGGGAGGCTGTGATTGTAGCTGCGGCTAATGTTGCCCTGAGGATCAGAGATGAGAGTTAGCTGGGCCAGAGCTCAGCACCGTGCTCTAGCTGACAGCCAAGCCCTCCATGAGCCCAGCAGGAATTACTAATACCTCTCTACATAAGCCCCTGCTAGTGTCTATTTAGAAAGTCCTTGAGCCTGCAGTTACCATGTTTATTAATATATTTGGTGGTTTTTTAAATAATAATAGTGCAGTGGTCGCGGGTGCTTTCTAAAGGGCTGTGCACGTGGTACTTCCACGCACACATTCTCCACGGCCCCCGCTCTTGGATGAGCCCTGTGGGGGCCTCCTAGGGCGTAGCTCGGTGACTTCGCAGGGGCCCTCGGGGCCTCATCTATCTGCCTGTCATCAGGCACCCCTGCCCGTCCACTCCAGGCCGGCTTCCCCTGGAGGCGGCAGGGGGCAGGGGTGACAGACAGTCTGGCCCCGCCAGTGTCGCCCAGCCCCAGGGGGTGACGGACATGCTTCATAGGTGGACCTGAGGCTGACGTTCTGCAGTCAGCAGAACTGACTCAACAGTCAGTGACGGCTCCGCCCTTGACTGCATCCGAGATAATTAAGGCATAGTCCCTGACCTTGGAGAGGACTGTGGGGGTGCGTGCTGGGAGGCTGCGGGGTACCGAGTGTCCCAGCCCGTCCCCAGTGGTCACAGAGTCCCCACGATGCCAGCGGGGAGAGGGGCAGGAGGAGAGGCAGCGGGATGCTGGCTGGGGCGGTGGGTGCACATGGCAGCTGGCATGGCTGTTCTCAGAAGCCGCGTCCCTGCCTGGTCGCATCAGGCTGTCTTTGCAGTGAGCGCTGGGAAGGCTGTGGCCGGGATGGGAGCTGGCACAAAGCCACCTTCTTCCTTCGCTGGAATTCCAAGGTCCCGGCAGGGACCGGGTTCACGGGGTCCCCGGCAGACCATGGATGGGCTCTGCCCACCCGTCACCCCCAGACTCACACCCGAGTGGAAGACGCAGGGTCAGCTGCAATAGAGGTACAAGTGGAGGGCCACCAGGCCCAGGGAGGGAGGAGAGACGCTTGAGTGGAGTCTCTTCGCGCTCACTGCCCATCTTCCGAAGCCAGCCGGGCACGTCCCCATGATGCCAGGCCGCTGGCAGTGACCAGGCCTTCAGGCTCCCGCTGCAGTGGCCACCACCGGAAACATGGCCTACGGGCATGCCGAAAACACGGTGCTCAATGGACAGAGGAATCTCCACAACATGGCTTGGACTTTGCCCCAGGGTGTCCGCCATGACAGCGTTAACAAACAGATGGCAGGAGAGACCCCTTGCCTGCATGCTGAGGTCTACGGTTCCCAGAGTGCTGCCATATACACCACCCGCAGCCCAGCCCGAACGGGGTCTAAAGGAAGAGCTCATCTCTGCCCTGCTGTGCTTCAGACACCGATGGTGATGACTGGGAGGAGTGGGAAGGTGCCTGCCGAGAGAGTATGACGGTGTGTGGGCACGCGGGTGCGTGTCTGTGCGACCAAGTGTGTGTGTGGCTGCCTTCGGCCCCCAGCCGAGTGCCCAGCACGTAGGAAGTGCGCGAACGAAGGCTTGCGTGTGTGCTAAGTGGGGGAGGGGCTGCCACTAAGTCCCAGGCTGATTTAGAAGAAAGCTTCCGGAAGAAATCTCAAGAAGCTGACTTTCAGTTGCTGGAACTATGGGTGGGGACGGGAGTGGGGGGAGAGGTTGGCACTAATTATTTAGAAAACACAGTTCTCACAGAATTGGCCATTGCCAAGGACTAGGGAAATCTACTCTGAGCTCGCAAGTTTGAAGTCACTCGCTCTGGTTGAAGACTAAATTAAGACATCTTTGCAGAGAACAGCTTGGTAACTGTTACCAAAAGTCTTCAAAATTTAGAGGATTCGTAGAGCCATTCATATTCAGTTGTTCAACAAATGTTTGTGAAGCTTCTAGTACATGCCAGTCACAGTGGGAGCTACCGTGTATACGATGGTGATCGAAACAGACCTGAGCCGAGCCCTTAGGGAATTTATTTCCTAGAGGGGAAGATACAAATTAATAAAATTATCACATAAAACATAATTGCAAATTGCAGCAAGTGGTTTGAAGGAAAAGTAGAAGGCGCTACAAGACAGGGTAATAGCAGATGGACCCTAGTAGATGGGAATGATCAGGACAAGCTTGTCTCCCAGAGCAACATTTGATTGTACATAAAGGTACAACAGGGACCTGAAGGATGAATCAAATCAGGTGACGAATGCGGGGTGGACAAGCATTTGAGATGGCGTACGGCATGTGCAAAGGCCCTGAGGCAGAAAAGAGTTTGGTTTGCTTGAGGAGCTGACTGAAAGCCAGTGTGGCTGGAATGCAGTGAGGGACAGAAGGAGTGGAAGGAGATGGGGCTGGAGGGGCCAGATCATATGGGGCCTCGTAGACCACGTTACGGAGTTTTGATTTCATCCTACAGGTAGTGGACAATCACTGGAAGGTTTTAAGCAGGGGTGGAGGTGACAGAATCCAGTTGGAGTGGAGAATGGGCTGGAGAGGCTAAACCAGGAGAGGGTAGATGAATCAGGAGACCTTGGTGGCCAGGAAGGGGGATGATGACAGCTGAGGCCCGTGGGATCCCATGGGTGATGTGGAAAAAAGAAAGTGGCTTTAGGGTTCAGCATTTGGGTGTGGATTGGATGTGGGTGAGAGAGAGCAGTCCCAGTAATGCTGAAGAACCGCACAGTGGGCAGGGAGGGGGGAGGGTGATGCGACCAGGGAGTGGGGTGTTCGAGTGAGTGACACTGGAGGAGGGGCAAGTCCTCGGGGTGGCTGGGGTGGCCTCGCTGGCTGAGATGGGAAGGGGGAGAAAACAACGAGGAAGTCAAGGATCTGAGAGGCCAGAGGCTGGACCGGTCATCCACACCACTGTAGAAACCCCCAGAGAGGAATTGTAACGACGAAAAGCAGGAAATAACGAAAATGCCCAACGATTAGGGGCGGTTAAGTAAATTAGGGTGTATTCACCGGGCAGCACATCTTATAACCGCTAAAAACCCGGGTGGTACCCGGGGGAGCGCCAAAGGGTTTCTGATTCAGCTGTTAAGCAGGAGAGAACCTTCCAAACGTCAGGAATGGCTGAATCCTTTGGGCTAAAAACAAAACAAAACAAAACAAAAAAAACCTTGATTAACAGGCTGTATTTTTTAAACGTTTTTTATTGAGGCATAAAGTACAAACAGAACAGAAAAGTGCTGGACTTTCACTGTGTGGCCGGCGTCAAGATCAATAAATAGAAACACTCTCGGTATCTTCCCCCTCCTACCAAGTTCTGCCAGTGTAGCCACTGTCTTGACCATAATTGCTTTTGCCTTAAATCTTATTTGATTTGTAATTTTAAAATGTTTAAAGAATGTATACAGATGTGACATAATTATTTCCTCCTTGCGGACAGAAGGGAATTTGGCCATGGGTCTCTCAGAACTCCAGGAAAAAAAAAAAGTGGCTCAAACTATGTGTTTTATTTTTTTTAAGAGTGGGAGAGGGACAGAGAGAGCGAGAGAATCCCAAGCCAAGCAGGCTCTGTACCGTCAGCACGGAGCCCAACTCAGGGCTCGAACTCACGAACCGTGATATCGTGACCTGAGCCGAAGTCAGGCACTTACCCGACGGAGCCACCCACGTGCCTCCAAACTATGTGTTTTCAAGTGGGGGGAGTGGGAAACGGCCGGGTTTGATTCATTCTCTTTTCTGGGGTTTCTGCAGTGAGCTTGTATGATTTTTGTAGGAAAGAAACCATTAAGTTAAAAAAAAAAAAATCAGCGCGTTGGCTCTCCATGGCCAGGTCTTTATTGGTTAGCCTTCCCCGTACTGCCTGTGGCCCCGCCGCTGTCTGGGGCTTGGCGCTGACCCCAGGGTGAGGGGTGGAGGCCCCTTGGCTCAGGTGACAAGCCCTCCCTCTATTCCAGCCTCCCCCCAGCTCCGTGAACCCCCCCAGGGGCGTCTCTGGGGACCTCACACCGGTCCCTCCTTCTTCCCACAGGTGGAAAAACTTGTCAAATACTTGGATCCCAACGACCTCGGGAGAATCAACTTCAAGGACTTTTGCCGAGGGGTGTTCGCCATGAAAGGTGAGACCTTTGGGCCCTGGGGGTCTCTCAGGACCCCGTCCAGCTGCAGAAAGCTGGCCTGACTCGGGTGTCAGTGGGGATTCCTCCCAGGCGGGCTGAGGAGAAGGATCCGGGCTCAGCCGTGCGCGGGGCGTGGATCCCAGCCACGCAGGGCGTGGAGTCCCCGCGCCCACGGGACAGTGGTTTCCTCCCTGCCTGCCGCCTGTCCTGTAGGGAAAGGCTCCCGATTGCTCTCCTTTCTCCTCCTTGCGTCCCCCTGCGGGTCACCTCCCCCCGGGATGACTGAGCTCCCAAGCCGTGTCCCAGGACCCAGGACCCAGTTTTAAAACTAGGACAGCCGTGGGCAGACCCCGGGCGGAGTGGACGCCCATCCTCCTCCTTCGGACTCCTTAGTCTCTTCCTCTCCCCCCACCCCGCCCGGCCTTGAAGGAGCAAACTGCAACCCCTCTCTTTTCCCCAGTTCAAAGGCGGTTGGGAGGCACCCCCAGGAATCCGAGGCCTCTCTTACCTCTAAACTGCTAGTCTGGAGAAAGTGGCTCCGGTCAGCGGGCGGGCGGACTTGCTCAGGCCTCCCTCTGGCTGCGAAGAGAACACAGGCCCGAGAACTTTCCCACTGTCTGTCCGTCTGCGAAGGAAGCCACATTTTCCCATCAGGACGACCCGTTGTCTGTGGGGCACCCACGGCGCTGGGGCGTGGGAAGGAAGCAGGAATCGCTTCCCTGGAAGTGAGGGGGGCAGGAAGGGAGCTGAGAGGCCGGGAGGGGCTGTGTCCTGCCCCCACAAAGCCTTCCGCGTAGAGGGGACCACAGGGCCACCGCCGACCGCACCTGTCAGGTGCCCACACCGGGCGCTTTGCGGGCTTGCCCTGCTTCACCTGGAGAGATGGGGGGACTTGCTCAGGAACTGTGGAGGGAGGCCGTGTGCGTGACGGGGTCCGCAGGAGGTGGGGCCATCCCGAGGGGACCCTGTCCCAGGCGGCCCAGAGTGTGCAGGCCTGTTGAGGGCCTCGGCCGCAGGGGAACGTGTGCATTCAGAGTCCCTGCGAACCGGGCAGAGAGTACTGGCTTGTATCCCTTCCTCCAGAGAGGCCTCCTTGATTCTCTTTGCCCCTGGCTCCTTCTCTTCTGTGTGTCCTCTGTTGGGGTCCATGTGCCTCAGTGACACCCGCACAGCCCCGGACCGGCCTCTCTGTGGCCTCGTGCGCAGTCTCCACCTTTGAAGGATCAGCGGGGCTCTTGGAGACTTGGGCCACCTGCCGTCCCACCCCAGGCCCGGGGGTCAGAAGCCACGTGCTGAGGCTCCGACCTGCACTGTCTGTCTGTCCGTCCGCAGGCTGTGAGGAGCTGCTGAAGGATGTGCTGTCCGTGGAGAGCGCGGGGGCGCCGCCCTGCACGCCGGAGATCCCCGACTGCGTGGACCAGGTAAGGAGGGGGAGGCCCGAGGCCCTGCCTCGCCCTCTCTTGCTTCTGCTCGACCGTTTTGGTGTCTGGGAGGCCCCAGGGCCTCCCCTTTTGAGGCCCTTTAGGTTTCAAAGTCAAGAAATCTTTTTGGCTGTGAGCAGCCCCCTCGGGAGGCCCCGGCAGAGAGCGTAGGGGCTGGGGGTCCTCACAGAGCACCTTGACTCCCCCTCTCTGGTTCCAAGGAGACACCGAGTCCCACGCAGGGAAAGTGACAGCCTTGAGGTCAACAACAGGCAGGACTGCGATTCTCTTCTCTTCTCCTCTGCCCTGACCCGCTGGGCCAACCGGCCCCCATGTGGTGCGTCCCAGACACCAAGCTGCACCGGGTCCTCAGTCCGCCGATTCTCTGGCGCCAACCAGGGGTCTAGCGGTTCAGTTCCGTTCCAGGGTTAGTGTAGACCCCAGGGTCAAGGCCGCAAACCCTAGGGTCAAGGCCGCAGCCCCACGAGCCTGCCTCACTGAGGGCAGCTGCAGACGGGGCACACAAATGTGGGGGTTCCCACAGCCCCCCTCAGGTTCAGTAATTCACTGGAACAACTCTCAGGACTCGGGGATCCACGGTATTGGCAACTACCAGTTCATTACCAAAGACATGACTCAGGAAGCGCCTAATGGGACAGAGGCAAAGGGGAAAGGGGAGGGGGCAGTGCGGAGACTGCTTGTCCTCTCCAGGAGCACGTGGAGGTGCTCCCCCACCGGAAGCCCCCCCTCCCCAGCTTCCATAACCTGATATGCAGCCTGGAGTGGAGGGTGGGCGAACTGATGTTCCCACCAGGCACGCTCCTTCTGCTGGCCACGCCCCTTCTGAGGCTCTCTAGGGCCCTCCCTGGGTCACCTCAGCAGGAACACAGGGAAGGGGCTCCCCACGCGTGACTAAGGGCACTCCCATCCCTCAGGAAGTCCCTCAGTGCCCGCAGGGGGCAAACACCGCTCTGTTTTCCTTTATCCCTGCCCAGTGGTTTGTTCATTGTAAAGCTTTGGAACTCTGTTACAAGCACCTGTGGCTCCGCCCTACGGACAGACAGACAGACGCAGTCTGAGATGTATATATTGAGTCACCAAGGGTCCTTCTGGCTGAGACAGCCCAGAGCTGGAGAAGGAATCTTGCTTTGTCACCCAGGCCAGCTCCAAAACCTTTCCTCCGCCTCCGACATGAGGAGTGCCTCATGTGAACCCCCCCACCCCCAAATAGAGGTATTTTCTGCAGCTGAAGGAGGTCCAGGACCCCAGAGGTCGCTTGGGCCAGGTGGCGGGGTCAGGGTTGGGACCGGATGAGTGGGTGCAGGCAGACGGCTGTATCGCTGAGGGCGGCCAGCAAAATGGCATTGGAGAAGCTGACGCTCAAAGACAACAGAGGCCAGAGCCAAGCATCGGGTACGGGGCCGGGGCCTCGACCACAGAAGCCAGGCGCCTGGCCTCCGGGGTGCTGGGCCCCAAATCAGGGCTCCCAGGGAGGAGTGAAGAGAGCGGGGCCCCAGACCTGCCTTGACAGGCCCAGTGGGGGTGGGGTGCCTATGTATTTGAGCCCAGCTGATGGTACGTGGGCCAGGACCAGGGCAGAGGACTTCCCACGCGGACAAGCACTGAGTGCCCCCAGGGTTTTGGAGTGGGCCCCTCTTGGATTGCTGAGCAGGAAGCAAGGTGAGGAGGAAGGCTGTGGGGTCGCTCAGCACGGGGTCCGTACCCACCTTGGGCCACTGACTGGATATGCAAACCAGACAAGCTTCTCTCAATCCCTCTGAGCCTCAGTTTCCTCAGCTGTAAAACAGGGCTGGGCATGCCGGTCTAGAGGACCTGAGGAAATACTCATTTTCTTTTTTAATTTATTTTTGAGGGGGAGAGAAACAGAGTGTGGGTAGGGGAGGGTCACAGAGAGAGGGAGGCAAAGAATCCGAACCAGGCTCCAGGCTCTGAGCTGTCAGCACACAGCCCGACGCGGGGCTCGAACTCGTAAACTGAGATTGTGACCTGAGCCGAGATCGGATGCTTCACCGACTGAGCCAGCCAGGCGCCCCAGAAATACCAATTTTCTTATTAGCGAATACATGGGAGTGCCCTTCGTCCCCGCGCCGTGTCGTGGAGGTCAGCGTGAGAACACGGTGTTCAGCTCTGCCCTTGGATACCGCTGTGTCAGTAGTCCGGCAAAATGGAGGAGCTGGAGGGCCGGGGGGAGCCGTGGCCAGGCCCCCACCCGTGTGGCCCGGCAGGCTCTGTTCCCGCAGCCACGGCCCCCACGCGTGGCCGTCCACGCTTCCAGAAGAAAAGGTGAAACAGACACAAAATCCATGGGCCCTAGAAGGATGCTCTGCTTTTATTTATTTTTTTTTAATGTTTTATTTATTTATTTCGAGGAGAGAGAGAGAGAGAGACAGCATGAGCAGGGGAGGGTCAGAGAGAGAGGGAGTGACAGACTCTGAAACAGGCTCCAGGCTCTGAGCTGGCTGTCAGCACAGAGCCCGACGTGGGGCTCGAACCCACGAACCGCGAGATCATGACCTGAGCGAAAGTCGGACGCTTAACCGACTAAGCCACCCGGGCGCCCCAGGATGCTCTGCTTTTAAAGAAACTAAAAGGAGGTTTCTCTTTTCCAGAATAAAAGGAGGTTGGGGAACAGGGGGAAGAACGAGCCGGTCGAGCCTCAGCAACCCCGGTCCCCCTCTTTTTCTCTCTCAGGACGGTGCCTGCGTTTGTGTTTTCATGTCCCTTTGTTTAAGCCCCTGAGCAGAGGGGGGGGGGGGGATCTCTTCGTGCCTTGCACGTGGTAGGGCTCTTTCAGGCCGATCGGTGTGGCTGCCCCTGGGAGGTGGGGACGGAACCCTGGGCACACCGCGCAGCCTTGCTCCGGAGCGCCCAGTAGGGCCGCTTGGTTGACCCGGGCTCTGTTCCTTGCCATGGGCTCCTGAGTGCTGGGAGGGGGGGGCGGGGGGGGCGGGGGCGGGGCTGGGTCAAAGTCCAGCCTGCGGGACCTGGGGGCTCCTGCAGGGCCGGGCTGTGAAAGCCTGGAGGGCCCTCGTCCCTGAGATGTGAATGGATCCACTTCCAGCCTGAGCCTCCTGTAACGTGGGGCCCTGGACTCCCTTCCGCGAAAGGCCCACCGCTCCCCAAGTCTGTGAGGGGCGGCGGGGACACAGGGCGCCAGCCTGGGCAGGTCTAACCCCGCGCTGAGCCCTCAGCACCCTGTCGTGTCCCAGCTGTCCCCTAGGGGTCAGCTTGAGACTGACAACAGCCTCGACACTCAGGCTTCCAAAGTGCTGCTGGAGACGAACGTGCAAGGGTGGTTTGGGGACCTCGTAGGGAGGACACGCTGACGCTGACGGACGGCCTGGGGCGCGGACGTCCGACGTCACCCCTTGATGGGACATAGTTAAATGGTGAGCCTGCAGCCGCCGCGGCTCGCAGCCTGCCGCCCAGACCTGCGGGCCATGCCTCCCGTGCGCCTCACCTGTGCTGCATCTGTTCTTGAACTTCCTAGATGTCACCCTGCCCCTGTCCTCAGAGCCTGCGACACAGGGGCACCCAGAAGCGTCGCGGAGGCCTTGGTAAACCCAGCTGTTGAGAGCGTTTCCCCGCGCAGGGGGATGTGGATTTGGTCGGAGGGGACGCGGGGTGGCCCTGGTGTCCGCGGATGGGTGGCCCTGGGCTGCGGTCTTGGGAATCCCTCCCGAGGCCGGCCTGCTCGGCGGGCGGGCCCTTGTCCTCCTTTCGTTATAGCCCTCACTCTATATAGCGCAGGGGTCCCCGTGGGAGTGGGGAGCCCACCTTGGCCGAGAGGCAAGGGGGCGGCGCTACGAAGGGTGACCCGCCAACGCTGGGAGATCCGGGGCCCTTGGTCATTCTCCCTCCTCGGCCAATTAATAGGGAACCCCATAAAATGAATAAGGCATCAAGCCTCCTGCGTCTCCTACGAACCCCCCACCCAGCCACCCTCGGGCCCCCGGATCCCCGCTCACCCCCTCGTCCTTCTCCCCTGCTGCCCACAGCTCTCCTCGCCGCCCACCCCCACGCCCTTCTAGACCCGTACCCCAGTGCCCCGGGGCCTGCTAAGTACCTGCTCTCTCACTCTCTCCCGGGACCCTCATCACCAACGGATGAAATCAGCTCCCACCTCCTTCTCCAGCCTCGCCACCCCGAAATCGGTGACTCACATCTCTTCCTCATTTTATGAAAAGGACCGAGTTCTCTCTTGCGGCCCAGACTTTGTATAAGTTTTGTCTTTCTCCAGGGAAGTCACCCCCCCCACCCCCGTCCCTGGGCAAGACTTAACACCTCCTCCAGGAAGCCTCCCCTGGTTCCCTCTGCTTCTGCCTGGAGGAGGACCTGCTCTGAACTTCCTTGAGGCCCTGGGCTTCATCTTCAGCCTCCAGGATGGCTTCAAGTCCCCTCCGCAGTGACACCTTTTACACCGCGTGGTGGCAGGGCTCCAGAGTATTTCTCTAAGTATTTCTAGGATTAGAAATCTAAATATGGAATTGCTATATCAAAGGGTGTGCAGACTTTTTATTTTTTTTATTTTTTGGCTGAATGGCAATTTCTCCCTTTCTCTCTCTTTCTCTCTCTCTCTTTAGATAGGCTCCACCCTCAACGCAGGGCTCAAACTAACCTCCCCAAGATCAAGAATCCCTTTGTTCCACAGACTAAGCCAGCCAGGCACTGACCTTTATTTATTTATTTTAAGAAATGCATCCAAATTTTTCTTCTAAAAGGCAGTATCGATGTATCATCTGACAGTATGTGGGAGCGCCCGTTTCCTCACCCCTTTGTCAACCCTGGAAGGTCTCCACCTACTTGCCGGTCTCCCCTCCACGCCGCCCCTCCCTTCTCTGCTCACCAGCCCCATGGAGGGAGATTCGCCCTGGCTTTCTTTGCATTGCCATTTACCAGCGAGGTAGACCATATGTCTTGTTAGCTAGCTTTTTGGATTTCTTTGGGGAGTTACCTGTTCATGGTTATTGCTCATTTTC